ACAGAATGAAAAGGATAAACTGTTGTCAAATTTAATTTTAGTTTAGAGAATCACGCCAGAATCGACACCATTGGCGATTTCTAGTACTTAAATACCCAGTCGATTTACGGAAAAAGTAGCTTAATTATAGTGCAAAATGTCGCCATATAAATTTTCTTGTATTTAAGTATAGACTGTTTGTTTTTTGAAAACCTGATAAGTGATTTTTCTGATTGCGGGTTGGTGTAGTTGCTAGGTAGGTAAATGTGTATGGAATAATAAAGAAAGCAAAGGCGAGGACTGGTTACCACCAATATCAGAACTCGTAAATTGTACAGAAATAACAATCATATTTAATAAGTTAGTATTAAAAAGTATTTGTAGTGTGTATGCTGTTGGTCGCAGATGACCTTTACAGCGTCACCGGGTTTGGGGACGGCAAGATCCTGAAGGATCGTCAAGCCGAAATTGCCGAGTGCCTCTAGAGGTATTTCAGGCGGAGGCATCTCCCCACGGGGGGAATCTCCTCTCCGTCTGGTGCCACCGAACCTGAGGGGTGTTGGCTCAACTAGAGGGCGTCTCTGAGATTAAGATCGCGCTTCTAGTTAGCCGTTGTCGTGATGACTGCCTGACCGTAAAAGCGTTGAGCTGCCGATCCCGCTTCGCTCGCTTAGCTTACGCGGTGTTTTCAGCTCAGCCCTAAACGGCCCAATAACGAACATGGTCAGACTATTGTTCTAAAACTCGTTTAGTATAAAAGGGTGTATAATCAAAGCTTCAAAGCAGTATGACCCGATCGATACACGTCTATAAGATCTTAGAATAAGAATTAACATAAATATTTTAAAGAAAATGTGTTTTTTTTTCAAGTTTCACCTTTCTACAAAAAAATCCTACTTTATCCTTTTGCATTTATTATCTATTTCTGTTTAAACTTATTAGTCAGATTATCAATAACAAATTAAAGACAACTTTAACTAGGTACAGCAAACACAATAAAGGTACTTAAAACTTTACAAAGTGGATTATTTAGTCAAAACACATCATGTTACAAAATCTAATACTCTGATAGAAAATACAAACTTATTGATTTAATACAACATATTTGCTACATTTTATATCAATATTTTGAACAAGATCAATAATTGAGGTAACAACTAACATTTGTTGATTCTTGAAGAGTATTTATTGCAACAGATGTACATTGTGACAACAGAATTAAGACAACACTTTTGTATTTTCAGCTGACACCACAGAACTATGTTTAGTAAAATTAATGGTGGCAAGCTCTTAAGATCATAAATTACATGCTTTATTGTAATTCCCTTCTTGCTTTATGGATTTCAATTAGTTTTTTTTGTTTGATCTTACTTCTTTAAATTCAATTTAATATAATGCCATATAAGTATAGTAACTGTAATTACCATTAAGCTTACCTACCATTCAAAGTTTAATAATTATTTGTTGAAACTTTTATAAGAGTTTTCAAAACACAAATTGTGATTGACAAACTGTATTCTAAGTAACTGGCACTAATTAAAACTATAAATCTTAAACTAACTTATTAAATTGACCGACACTGGTTTTAATTTTAGAGATCAGAATCCAGATCTAGAATCTACTGGCATAATTCTCTAAAACTAAAATTAAATTTGACAACAGTGAATCCTTGTCATTCTCTATCCAGAATGAGAAAGGAGACACTGATGTAGAATTTAATTTTAAATTTAGATAATCATTCCAGAATTAACACCAGTGTAAGTGCACTTGGTGAGAAAAAAACTAGGTATTCGACACAAATTAAAACTAGCTATTTTTAATATAAAAGAGGTCAAAGAATAAAAAAACAATAAGTAAAAGATACTTTATACCAACTTACAAATTTTACTTCATAAATTATTTAGGTTAAAATTGAAATCTATAAAAAAATGGAAAATAAAGTACTTTTTAGTTATATAGTTATTATTACATTAAAACGAGGTATTTTTATTAATTCCCGTAAAATAATAGCCCGGTACTTTTGATTACACAAATAGCTACCTACAATTCTGGTACTACGTTTTTTATAATCAAACACAGAGCCAAAAATAATTGAAAAAGCTAAGAAATATTACTAAAATACGTTGTTGCCCTAAAAAAACTCGGCATTTATTTCCCGCCGATGTAGAAAAACCTAATGACCAAGCGATGTCAATCACAATAATTGACAGACAGCGTAGACTTCAACCTATTTTCGTATTTTGAACTGGAAAAACTCGACTGCCATGCACGAGATAATAAAATTAACATTATCAAATGTATTATTGTAAAGAAATCACGCTGCTTTAATAAATTTTGAGGTCCACAAACCCGTGTCAACAAAATGTAACCTCAAAATTTGCATCAACAACATAGCATGGCCTCTGGCAATATTTGTTGTATCGACAACGATATTTTATAGATAGTTGTAAGTGGACGACTGATAAAATCGAAATGTAACAAGAACGTTCTCAGCTTTTAATGGGAAACATGAAATGGGAATCGTTCAAAACACGGCCATTTTTGAAGTATCTACGTAGATCATATCTATGTTGATGCAGCTAGAAGCACACTGCTTACCCTTTCTACGTCAAGATCCGTTCCTGTACATAGTCTCTTGCCACTACTGCCGTTGTAAGCCATGTTGCACCACAAAACAAAACACAAATCACTCCGAAACGCGATTGGCGGAGGACAAGAAGTCACCTTCCTTCTACGACGGTCGCGAACAGACTGATTGAACGAATGAAAATAAATTGAGTAGGTTGTTCGCGAATGAGTGAAGACTGAATGAATACATGCATTTTTTGTTTTTTTATTCTCCCTTTTCACGGAAGGCAAAGGAAACAATGCCCATAGAGTCTAGTCTTTAGTTTTAATAACCTAATTTTTTTTACATTAGAATGTCGGTGTGACTCATTCTAATGTTTCTTGGAATGTCCGGCACGAAATGTATCGAGTTGGCTTTTTCGAAAAGCTGTTGTGAGTTAGTCAAAACTACAATAAATTTCTCACGTCCACTTGACCGTAATTGCTTATATTTTAAAGATTCCACTAATTCTTCACATGCGCGGACGGTTGTAACACAAAATCATACAATTTTATTTCACAATATACACTAGGAACGAATTTAAGAATAAATAAAATAAGTCGCCAACGGTACTCGATGAAATCCCGCCAAAAACTCTACGAGCATGCTCGCACAAGATGAAAATTAATAAATGTAAAACTTTATAAATAATTTAGTTCGGGTAGTATTAGTTACGTCCTGTTTTTTTATCAATATTTGTCAAATGACTTCCTTAAAATAAACAGCATTTTATTTTAAATCATTCGAATTGACGACCTCCTTGGCCAAGCGGTTTGTACGCCGGGTTTCATGGTGTCGCCGACTCGAGAGGTCCCGGGTTAGAATCCCGGTGGGGGCAGATGTTTTTGTAATGAATACGAGCATATGTACTCCAGTCGTGGATGTTTAATATGTATTTCTATATAAATATACTTATATATGTACTGTATATGTATTCTATCCATTACCCTAGTATCCCATAAGACAAGCCTTGCAGTGCTTACTTTGGGGCTAGGTTAATTGGTGTGAGTGTTGAAAATATTTATTCATTTTATTTATTAAATTATCGTTATTAAAAGTGGTACTCTCCTGCTTTGGGAAAGGCCATTAAAGAGAAATATTAATACCTGAAAAAATTTAAGATACACGGGAACCTCGCTGACGAATTAACATTTAAATTGCTTAAAGATCGGTGTAGGGCAATGGAGAGGTAATGCTACTCTGACTATATTACTTAAGTCTGTTGAAAGTTCTTTAAAGGATAACCCTAAATTATTTTGGTCTTTTATGAAGTCTAAATCCGATACGAATGATATTCCTAGCAGTATGAGACATGGTGATTTTATTTTCAATACAAGTAATTCAATCAGTAATGTTTTTTCTAATTATTTTCATTCATTTTTTTTGTACTGTCCCACCACTCAATCGAACGTTTATTCTTCTGGCTCTAACATCACCGTCACAAATATAACTAATATTGAAATCGATGTTCAAAATGTGGCGAAACTTCTTTCGACACTGGATCCCTCCTAGTCAGCCGGTCCAGATTTATTACCAGCTCAGTTACTTATATCTTGCGCTTAAACTATTGCAATTCCATTAGCTATCCTATTCGAAAGATCATTGGTTGAAGGTATTGTACCAAGGTTGTAGAAATGTGCCTTTATTACACCTGTCCACAAGAAAGGATCCAGGATTGACATAACCAATTACCGACCAATCTCTAAACTTTGTATAGTCTCAAAGGTTCTTGAGAAGATTGTATGAGCAACTATACTATATTTAGCACTTAAGCATTCCTTCAATCCCACTCAGCACGGTTTTTTGAAAGGACGTTCTGCAGTATCCAACTTGACTCTGCTTAATGAATCGCTCACCTCGTCTATAGATAATGGCTTCCAAGTGAATGTAGTGTACACTCACTACAGCAAAGCGTTCGGTCGAATTCGGCCAGACCTACTGGTACATAAATTGGAGAAGATCGGCGTCAGTGGTGACTTGCTCAGGTAGTTAATTTCATACATTAACAATCGATCCCAGGCTGTTGTAGTGAAAAACTACATCTCCAGCTGGCTCACAGTACTTAGCGGAGTTCCTCAGTGATCTCTGCTCGGACCTCTATTATATGCAGTTTTTGTGAATGACATTGAGCTGTGCTTCAACACATCACAACTCTTGTGCTTTGCAAATGATATGTAGATAATTGCACCTATATCTTCTATTTCGTTGCAGGAGGACTTTAACAGACTTGAAATTTATTGTGTTGAGAACCATTTAGATCTTACTCCGCCAAAGTGTATTGTTCACTTATAGTCGTAAACAAAATTTGATACATTTTGATTATAAATTAAGAGGCTCAACATTGCAAAGTGAAACCCTAAATAATAAAAACCCATATAAACTTTCGCATTTATAATATTAGTAGGATTTCATCCAAAGCTGGCAATATTATGACTACAATCGAATGAATGAATGTGGAATGAATGACGAAAGAAATGAAAAAAAATCACTCACTCCACAGAGTAATCTTCGCAAAATAATAAATAAACATTTTATTAAATAAATTCATTATCCAACTCTAATGGAAATTGATAATTGGCCGTTAATAGAGCCACAAATAAAAATAGAATATGAAGATACTGGTGCTGAAGATCCTCTCTTTGTTAGGAAACGTGATAAGGATATTACCAAGTCTCAACTCTTCATGGTAGTTGAAAGTTCGAAACTGCCAAATCCAAAATCAGGAATTGTTGAGGTTTGAATACCTAGTTATTTGTAAACTAATTTATTTAATATAAGCTAAGCTTTTGTGTCTTAATTTTGATCCTTAATACTCTTAATTCTGACTGTCGTCTCTTTTTACACTTTTACTAATTCCTATCGTTCTAATGTAATCGATAGGTAAATAAAGGAAAAAAATCTGAAGGATAAAAAACCACTAATATCCCTGTTTCTAAATTTTCAGGTGCAAAAACCAAATGGAAACTGGTATAAATGTATAGACAGTGTTGGAAAATATCATTGCAAGTTTTGTGAACTTGTGTACAACTCCATTCAAACTCTTAGAGTCCACACAAAGATGAAACATTCTTCTGAAGCTTTAGCGATAACTGCAGCACAGTCCAATATCAAGAAGAGTAGAAAAAATTTATGCCACATTTGCAAAGAAATGTTCAAAAGTTTAAATCATTTGGAGGAACATTTAAAAAACTCCCATCAAATGTACAAAGAAAATAAATGTTGCCATTTATGTCACTCTGTATTTGACAATGAAAAAGTGTTATCAGATCACATGCTTTCAGCGCACAATGTTCAGCTAAGGAAAATGCATATTTGTAATACTTGTGGTTATGTCACAACGAAAAGGTCACACTTCAATCAACATAGAGATATTCACTTTGGGAGAAATATGAGAAAATGCAAATATTGTGATTATGAAACAAGTTACTTACCGAACTTGAAAATTCATGAACAACTTCATAACGAAAAGAAACCTTATTCATGTGATTATACTAATTGTTTCTATACAGCCAAGTCTCGTGCTGCTTTGAGAAGTCATCAATTGACACATAATAAAGAGGACAATTTTATTTACTGTGATAAATGCACTTATAAGACTGTATACAGACAATCTCTCAAAAAACATTTAAATAGCCATATGAGATATACTGTTAAGTTAAAGCCATGAATAGTTATTCTTGTGCCCTTGATCAACATTACATGGTATCTATAACAATATCTTTATTAAAGTAATCAATGTGAACTTATGACTAACTAACATCACATAATAAATAGACTTAGAATCGCAAGATACTTAAAGATACACCAATAATACATAAAGAGCTATTAAGTTTTACCTTTTATGCAAATAGGTATGTATTTTTTCTGAAAATTAACACATCAATATAAATACCTATTAAAAAAAGATGAATAGTATTCTTTAACTATCTAAAAATAAAACTGACTTACTGTTGCATGTATTTATTTATTTAGTGAAAACTGATTATGTACAGACTGTCACACATGAAGTTAAAACTAAAATTTTCTCCAAAAATCGGGAATCTTATTTCAAGCAATCAAATCAAAGTCAGTTACAGGAAATTTTACAGGTTTGTGTTACTTATGGCTATCTGTACATAATTCAGTGGGTTCTCTCAGATTTTTACACCACTTAATACACTTTCCCTTAAAACCATGACTTAATGGTTCTATAGTAAAAGAAAATTGTTATTAAACTTCACGAAGTTCAGTTTTCGTAATAACAAAATTTGAATTCATAGTTTAGAATTACTAAATAACAATAGAATGATTTATGTAACATCAATGATTGTCTAACATTATGATAATGATTTTGATTATGTTAGTGAAACCAATGTGACTTTTTAATCATGAGCTCTTAACTTGCACATAAGCCCTTTCAGTGAGGTGTTGGTTTGTGTCCATCTACATAGAAATTCCTTGTGGCTTTAGGTAACCTTAATTCCATTCCTTCCAAGTCTTTGGTGAGAGTAATTTGACATCCTGAAAGTAAAAAAGTAACAGGTATACAGATGGAAATCAAAATTTTACTAGGCTAAGTAAGTATCAAATCCAGCTTTTTTGCAGCAAATGTAGAATTTTGTTCTTAAGATTAAGATGACAAAATTCTTCTATTTCCCATCTGGAGGAAGGAATTTATAAAAAAAACAAATTTTAATACACAGAAACTTCATAAAAACTTGGGATAAACATACACATTCCTATTATTACCTAATCTAGAATTTTCTTTAAGGAAAGGGGCCATGTCTAACAAGTCATCCTCCTTTTCTTCTGAAGGAGGAAGTTTATCAAAGTATTCACTTTGGACATACACATGACATGTTGTACATGCTAATGATGCTTCACAAGCACCTGCAAAAAAAGGGATATTCTGAATATATTTTCTAAAACCTTAATTTTGTTTTCCGAATTAAATCATGAAGAAAGAAAGAGGCAGTTATATCTATCAAGTTCCAAAGCCTAGATCTATATTTCAATTTTAAGATCATTTATTTATTTTACCATTTTAATTAAAATATGTGCCAGTAAATAGCTATAGCTAAATTGTTCATAAAAAATATGAGACATAATATCCATTGATTCATAATTATTCTTTCATTGACATTCAAGAGCAGTCTTTTAAATATTTTGATCATTTATATTCAATGATTACCATACCTTCCATTTCTATTCCATGCCTATGGGCTAGATACATGGCATTATCTCCGACTTTACCTCTGACTTTAGTTTTCTTTCCATCTTTATCCACATAGGTAATATTTACACTGAAAAGATAAAATAAACATGATTTCCACTCAAAAATGCTGAGGAGCTCAGTGGATAGGGTTTCCAGTCTGCTATCATGGAAGCTTAGAGGTTTTGCAATGGCCTGTCATAGGATAGGTTTTGTTTGTTTAACCACAAAATTATCATCTGGAGCTGCTCTGTGCTTCAAAAAGTAGATTAAGCCAGTGGTCTAGGCAGTTATTAGCACCCACCAATCAGTACTGTGCCTGTGTGGTGGGATGTGGCCCAATCTCCATCCTCATTAATAAGTGGATTATGGTGATAATTATGACTGAACCTCCTGTAGACTTAAGTAATGTAAGTTAAAACAGAAACTGTTATAGTGAACAATTAGTGTTACAAGACAAAAAAAACTAAAGTTATTTTACTTACACTTCATCTTCTGATTTTGGATCTTGCCATTCGTATTCTCCGTGTCTTAAACCTACAAAAAATGGAAATTGATACTGCTTATTGGACTTAGACTTAGAAAATTGAGATTAAGAAATTTCTAACCTGAAGTTAAATGTATCCATCTTCTTGGAGGTGGAACTAAAAATCTAACAGCATGAATTCTTTTTATATTTAGACTACGTTTTAATATCGAGGGAAACATTGAATAAACCTCAAATAAAATAAACATTAAACTGTTTGTTTAGCTGAAATAATCTTTATAACCTATAAAATAACAAATGCCATTGTCAATGTCATGCCCATTTTTTTTAAAGATTCTTTCTTTTTCAGGAAGGCAAAGGACGGAACAGAAAAAACTGAACATTGTTCGTTCAGTTTTTTCTGTATTTTTTCACACAATAGAATACGGGTGTGACATTCTAATGCTTCTTGTTGTTGTTGTTGGGCACGAAATACATCGAGTCAGCTTTCTCCTAAAGCTTCTGTGAGGTAGTCAACACTACTATGAAGTTGTCACTTTCACTTGAATAGAATAGCGTATATTTTAAAGATTCCACAAATTCTTCAGTTGTGCAGATGGTTGTAACACAAAATCACATCAATTTTATTTCACAACTAGGTATATCTACTTTTTAGTAGAAGCGTTTAGTTCTGTCTTGCTCGCTCTATTGAATGGTTATTTATAAAAGTGTGCGTGTGTGAGAGTTACTTATAAGTATATTAGTTGCTGGATGCTGGTACCGTATCTTCCCTTTTTGTTATAGTCTAAGCGATTTTGTAGAAAAAATACCACAGGATTATTTAGGGAACTTTACTTTGTTATTGGACTATGTACTTACTTAATAACTACAACATTTATTAGAATACCAATTAAATAAAAAAATAGTAGTGTACACGCATTTATTTATTATTTTTATCAAAACAGTAGATTTCGTTCAACAAAATTCATACTACATTAAAAACAAAAATTAACAACTTAACAAAATATTATTTGTAATATGTAATGAGTTATTATTTCAGTACCTATCTAATATTATGGTATTATTGCAATTTCTTTACATGACTAAGAAATACAGAAAAAAATGTTTTAATTTCATAAAATGTTGGCGAACTATTTGTTCAAAATTTGCTATCAACAACAACATTTACTATAATATCAAAAAGAAGGTATCCAATTAATCTTTTAAGAAATGGAAGTAATTTTTAAGTATTTTTTAACAAATTCTAAGGAATAAAATTATACACCTATGGTAAGGAGTAAAAAGATTTTATGCGAATCAATAGTCAACGTAGTAATTATTAAAAATCACTAACAGCCGCACTCTTAGACGTGAATAAATTTGTAAGTTTGTTTAAATTTCATGCAGGGTCAGCATGAAATTTAAACAAACTTACAAATTTTTACAAACCTTTGCGATAACAATAAATTATGACGTGAAGCATTAAATTTAATTAGCGTCTCTGAGTGCGGCTTTCAGTATTATTATTTATTATGTTGGACAGACGACACCCTTGCATTGATCGCCATAGTCAGGGCAAGGTCTTTCTGCTGCCTTTAGTGGTTCGGCCTTTGCGCAGAAATGAATAACTCTGTTGACAAGAAAGATTAATAAAAAAAAAATTTTAAGCATTTAACAGCGAGATCTTTAAATCTAAAGAAAAAGTAGATAAAAAAAATGCACGCGGTCCAGTCCAGGCAAGGCAGCGCCATTTCCTCACATTGTAGGCAAAATATTGACTCTTAAAAGTCTAAGAAAAACTAGAAGAAATTTGACATGGCCATTAAGGTCGCGGTAGCATATTGTCAGTGCATCCGCCCGGATAGCGGAGGGTGCGGGTTCAAGTCCCGCCTGCTGCCTGGACCACGTGGAATTCTTTCTAGTAAAATACTCTTAAGAAATATATTATTAGTAGGAATGGGCCAAAATTCGGTTCACATTTTTTTTATAGATAGGTCCGACATATGACTTCACCCCGCCTGATGTTAAGTGAAGGTGAAGTCCAGACGCGAAGATAGCAGATACAGCAGTTCTATTTTTTTTTATACATTATATATTATTATTATACTTTCGGTTCAACAGAATTTCGGCAGCTTGAAGCGAACTTCGGCATTCGGCCTAAATTCGGTTCAGATGCCGAATATTCGGCACAGGAAAAATAATACCTACTTGCGCTATTTTGACTAAATACGGTATCTTCCAAATTAGTGTAAAAGCTAGCGCGTTCGGTCTGTGATCGCTGAAATTAAGCAACTTTCACAACGGCCGGTCATCGGATGCGTGACCGAAAATAGCTCTTCCGTACTTCTGAATCCGGGAGGCACTCTAAGCAGGTGGTCCCGGCTGCATTTGCAGTCGTCAGCACCAACCAATCCGCACTGTTCCCGCTTGGTAGGTCAATTTAATGTAATGCCTTGGTTTGGGTGGGTCTTTCTTTCCCCACCAAAAGCATGGCTAACATTCTTAAACGTAAATTACCCTAAATCCAGTTTAAAACATTACTTCATCCAGTATGTCAACAGTTTGAAGTCAATAGAGATAAAATGTCGTTTAAAACAAGCTTTTTATTATCAGTTTAATCAAGAATATTGGACCCTCGTAGCTACACATACAAATAAAAAATATAAAGACCTTTTTTTCCATATCTTACAAAAATGCAGTTTCTTTATAGGTATTGATAACATGCAAATTACTTAATCAACATATTAGGGGTGATGACGGGGTACAGTAAACGAAATTCTATTTAGTCCGTCAGTTAGATGATCAAAAAACAATGGACACGTATTTTTTCTTTGGGCAATCAACCAAAAAGTGACATAGTTATAGCGCGTCAATGTTTGGGAGTAGAGGCTCGTGACATCACTTTTAAGTGAAAATTGTACCAAAACGTGACGTAATGCGACTTTTCAAATTAATATATCTCTGCAATGTTTATAATATGTAAAAAAAGAAAAAATATGTGTCCAATACTTTTTGATAATCTACCTTATAAACGAAGAAATAAAAATTAGTCAACATCCCTATTCATATCTTAAAACAGCTGAACGAAACTTTATTACAAAAATGTGGGCAAACAGCAGATATTTTTTGGTCCTTCGAGCCGGATTTGAACTAACGACCTAAAAAGTATACAAACAGTACAACTTCTTACCCATAATCGCCTGTCCTCATCCAATCTGGGTCTATTTTCGTGATCTGATCCCATTTGCCTTTGGGCAGACCGCATATGATCTCAGCTTTCACAGTGCGCACTGCAAGAATCGGCGCTGGGATGAACCCTAAGGGAAGAAGGAATAACTCAATGCCTCATGTATTTAATGATTTTAGCTGAACATGTATTTCGATTGCGTGAAACCAAATATTTGTGTCCGGCTAATTTAGCTCTTATTCGACTCCCAAGTCCGGATTTTGTAATTTAGAAGATGGTAACTCTAATTGCAACTTCATTGCAACGTCATCGTAATAGGCTTGTTGACACTTTTTGGAAATATGTTTTAAATGATAAATAATTGTTCTATTAGACCGAAAAAATATATATTGTATTTTGTTTTGACCTAGACAGCTACAAAACTTTAATAATTCTAAAATAGATTTTTAATGGATTTACAAAAACGTTGTCGGCCATTTTAGTCTATGGATTTATCTATGATATGACGTCAAAACATTTGTATACAAGCACGTAGGAAACAACCTATCTGAGTTTATATTATAAAACCATGATTTCTAATAGATTACATAAAAAATATAGTAATTATCATGATTGTATTATTCGAGAATATAGAAACACATTGACAAAGACCCCAGAAAAGTTGTGGTTTAAAATGCCTAGAGAAATAAACACATGAACACATGTTTAAAACTTGGTAAATCCTGTAAGTTTACCGACTGTAAGTTATTTATTTTTGCGGAGATAACTTCGATGTAAGTACTCATTGAATAATACTTAAAGTTTAAAATTTCAATTTTTAAGGTTATGACTGTACCTACTAAATCAAAGAGTTTTGTCGTTTCTGCTTTCACAAATCGGGCGTCCAGCATTAATTTAATCAACAAAACCAATAAACGAAAACTTTTCTACAAGACATAAGAGTTTTTATATATATATATTTTAGTCCGACGAAAGAAACCACATTAACACGACAATGACGTTTAGTTGTTTACAAATTTTATGACGTCACAATCAGGGTGGATAGCGTTTTTTATGTCTTTGAAAAGTATAGACTAAAAAACTATTTTAAAAATTACATTACTAAAGCCATCTTCTAATTTTTTGAAGTGAAATCGATATATTTAGGTCCCTCATACCAAAAATTCAAAGAGATAAACATTTTTATAGTACAATTTGACATGAGTCAACTAGCCTATTCTGATCATTGCTTTAGTGTTGTCAGGTGTGTGTGTTAGGGCTTTGGGACTTTATTGATGCTGCATTGAGGTTGAACCGGGACCATGGGCAAAGAGAATGAACTGTGGTCTAAGCGCTCCCTATCTTTTTAAGTAAAACTGGGCAGATAAGTGTGTGAGACAGAGAGAGAGAAGAGTCGAATCGTGCGGTTAATAGTTCATAGAGGTATTTTCTGTACCATTTTCGAGCAAGTGTCGCTCAACCGATTCTCTGCGTCCAGGATCGCGACTGTATAAGTGTAAATGTGCTTAGGCCCAAGTACTTATTTTAAAAAAAAACCGGCCAAGTGCACGAACGTCAGTTGTATAGGAGCCCCCCCTCAAATATTTATTTCATTTTGTTTTTATTATTTGTTGTTATAGCGGCAACAAAAATACATTATTTGTGAAAATTTTAACTATCTAGCTATCATGGTTCATGAGATACAGCCTGGTGACACATAAACAGACATACGGATAGCAGAGTCTTAGTAATAGTGTACCGTGTTTACCCTTTGGGTACGGACCCTAAAAACGATGGTAAAATCGATAAAGTCGGTTTTAATATATGGCGTAACCAAGGGAAACGGGGGATTAATTCTTACAGATATGTATATGTCGTGTAGATTCAGATTATACAGAGTGAATTTTAAAACACCAACAACCTCTTAGGGGGTAATTCTACCCATCAACAGGAACAACTTTTATTATGGGACCAACTCTGAAATCGCGAAAAAAAATCAGCTACTCGGCTGAAATGTATGACACAACTGTTTTTTCTTACAAAAAAAAACAGCTGTGTCATAAGCGTAAAAAAAACAGCTGTTTTTGTTAACAAAAACAGCTATTTCATTCATTTGACTGATTTTCTTTTTCTTGATTTGATTGATTCGGCTCCTTTTTTTTGTTAAAAAAACAGCTGTTTCATAAATTTCGGTCGAGTAGGTGATGCACTTTTGTATGAAACAGATTTTTTTTTCGCAATTTCAGTATATAGTTATCATGTTTACTAACCTTGTAACGCGGCTTCGAACCCAAGCACAGAACTGCAATTCCTCTCTCCCAATAGTTTCCTATAGTTCAGGTCGCCTTTAAACATTACGGCGACGGCGAATTGTAGTTTACGGTACAAATTGTAGTCGTACTTCTTCATGTCTTTGAATATGTGCGGGGAGGTCCAGAAGTCGTCGCACTGTAAATAAAAAATGTATTCAATCAAATAAAAAGTAAGTTGATTAAATAAATAAATAAATACACACATCAAAAGTGTCTAGGGATCAACATATATTTTTGCAATAACTTTTCTCCTGATTGATATTAATTAAAATTTTCTTTAAGGATTCATCAAATAAAGTGTTTTCGTTTGTCACAGTAACGATAAACCAAGTCACCTTTGCATTAATAAAGAAATTTGCCATTTTCCTAATAAAGGGATTTTTGACATTTGAACCACTAACACAAAAGTTCGAAAAAAAGACTGAAATAACAGTTTTCTCTAAAATTTTACTGGGTAACTTAAACAATTAATAATCCGTATTTCTACCGCGAACACTAACAACACAAGAACATCGGTTTGGCATACTCAAAATGAGTTCATCCAAATCACGCTGTGGAATGGCCGCCCATGTTCGTTGCAACAACAAAAAAAGGTCTTCTTGCGACTGGATACCCTCCATATTCGGCAGAGCTCTTCTCTGTAGCATATCCCATGCATGCTCAATCGGGTTCAAGTCTGGCGACTGAGCAGGCCAGGGCAGGACATTGATGTTAGCTGCGGCGAGAGTCTGTCTTACAACTCTTGCGGTGTGCGGTCGTGCATTATCATGCATTAACTGAAATAAGGGACCGATTTGCACTTGTAGAGGAACGATGACGTCTGATACAATCGTCTCAGCATAGATTTGAGCGTTGAGGTTGCCTCTGATCCAAATCAACTCAGTTCTTCCGCCGATCCAAATACCCGCCCATACCATGATGGTTCCACCACTATAAGGATGGACTTCCTGGCAGGATTTTAATCGCTGTTGGCGTCCAGGGGTTCTCCAGTGTCGTATACGTCTTGTATCCGGTCTCATACCAAAACGAGACTCATCAGAAAAGCACACGAAACGCCATTGTTCTTCTGCCCAATTTCTGTGTTCAAGAGCCCATTGATATCGAATCCTACGATTGTGCATTGCTATAGGTGGTACCCGTAGCGGTCTTCGGGAATGAAGGTTCACTTCATGCAAGCGGTTTCTGACTGTTTGGTCGCTAATTAAGTTCCCTGAAGAGTGATGAAGCCTCACGGCTAACATCATGGCGGTTATTGTTGGAGCTCTTCGAGTTAAGATTTGAATGTATCGGTCTTGTCTCCGTGTGGTGCAGCGATACCGTCCTCCATGGCGCTCAGCCACGGTACCAGTGCTTCGGTATCGTGTCCAAAGTCGACTGATAACACTCTGACTTGTATTCAGAGCTAAAGCCACAGTACGTTGCCGGGAACCAGCTTCTATCATTCCCACGGCTCTGAGCATTTCTTCCCTGCTTAAATGACGTCGCCGCTCCATAATAACGTTGGTTTTAATCAGTAGTAGGGAAACAGTAGCACTAATAATGTCTTCAATGCGTTGTATGTTTTTATAGGGAAAATATTGACAGCTGATTTTCATCTTTTACTCGAATTTGATTCACAGTTCCTGATTCAAATTATGAAATGCACCAAAAAGGATCCATATAAATTTATAAAATCATAAATTTATTACAAAGCCACATCTCAATCTCAAGAAATCCGCATAAAAATGCTTGATCCCTAGACACTTTTGATGTGTGTATTTCCAACACTCACACCAATTAGCCTAGCCCCAAAGTAAGCACTGTAAGCTTGTGTTATGGGATACTAGGGTAATGGACAGAATACATAATAATATACTGTACATATGTAAGTATATTTATATAGAAATACATATCAAACATCCATGAATGGAGTACAAATTTTTTTATTTATCACACAAACATCTGCCCCCACCGGGATTCGAACCCGGGACCTCTCGAGTCGGCGACATCATGAAACAAGTTTATGCCACTTCGAGACAATAAACACACACGCACACATCACTCAAACACACACACACACAAACAAAACACGCTGGAAACATATTAAACACTAACCATGTATTTTCCCAATATTAAGTTTGTAATTTGAAAACACTAAACATTGACTATGGATCTGAAATTACCATGTAAATGTGTCATTTTTTGGGAAGAAACTGGCTCCTAATTCCGTGTGAATTTATTTATCGTAATCTTAAATTTTATCATAATATCTTATACATATATATATATATATATATATATATATATATATAATCATATTATCTTAACTTATCCTAATGTTATAATTTTAATTTTTTAAGCATGTAACTGCTTGATGTTTAAATCTAAAGAATTATCCTAATGTGATTAATTAATCCTATATTTTTAGGAATTAGGGTCCCTTCTGATTTGCAATCTGGTATTTTTCCAAAAAAAGATTTATAAAAAAATATAATAAGTCATAAACGTCTTAAATAACTTAAACTATACAACCGGACACATCTATCGGCTAAAATAAAAATATAATAAACTAAATGAAGAAAGAAAAAAAAACGAGTAAGAAAAAAAATAAACTAAAACATCCCGTTTTCTTACCATCACAATAAATGTGCCGTCTTCAAGAAACTGCGCCCACTGATCGCCGATTCGCCGCAGGTTGTCCGCAGTTACGACTACAGGTTGCGGTGGAGATTCGCCTTCAACCGCATCTACGGAATAAATCATCGTCAGCCAATCAATCAATCAAAATTATTGATGTGTAACATCTTTCCTCTCGTTTTCGTGCAATAGGGATGATGACTAATTTTTTTTTCTTCGTTTTTCAGGTAGATTATCAAATAGTATTGGACACGTATTTTTTCTTTTTTTACATAATATAAACATTGCAGAGATATATTGATTTGAAAAGTCGCTTGACGTCACGTTTGAGTACACTTTTAAGTGAAAATTAAAAAGTGACGACACAAGCCCCTACCCCCTACTCCCAAACTTGACGCGCTATAACTTTGTCATTTTTTTCCCAAAGAAAAAAAAGGGGTCCATTGTTTTTTGGACATCTAATTGACGGACTAAATAGAATTTCGTTTAATGTACCCCGTCATCACCCCTATTTGTGGGAGTGATTACGTGAAGTGGGAAGGAAGTGTGTAACAGGAAGTTTGGGAAGCGCGCGCTATTTGATTTGATTTTAGAACATAATGGTCAAATTGCTTATTCTTTTTGTAGCAGGTTTATTTGTTTTTTTACTAATATAAGGTGAGATTTCAAATGTTACACATCATACGCGACTACTGTAAGGCTCGCTCGTTTTTTATTTTATTTAGTAAAAGCACTCATGAATGTCTAGAAGCTACGCCATCCGCTTGTACTAAAAAGAACCGGCAAGAAAGTCAGCAAGGGCTTTTCTTTCTCTCTGTTTTATTATTTACAGAGTCGTCAAGTTGAAAAATTACTTCAGAGATGATTCATGAAGTCACCTTTCATTACATAATGATTAAATATACATTAATAATCGTTTACCTGTATTTTGATTGCTGTGTCATACAGTATAAATACAAATAGTGTTATTTATATTAAACATTAACATCTTCAATGTCAAGGAAGTTAGGGTAGACTCATCTCTGGCATCACCCGTTCACGAGCATGACGCATGAACCAGCCATCGCTTCGCTCAACCATATTTTAAGGAACGTTATGACCTGCCTTAGACAACAACACCGAAGAGACACCCATACTAACTACGACATTTTTACTTAAAATTAAGGTCATTTATCTGTATTATTAATGTCCCCACTGCTGAGGCACGTACCTTCCCTATGGATGGAATAGGGAGATGAGGCCGTGACCCACACCGCGGGCCCAGTGCGAATATGTGGGTGTTAACGATTACAGATGCAGCCAGGACCAACGACTTGACGGCCTTCCGAAGCACGGAGGAGCTCGAGATAGTAAATTTTTGGTCATCCATCCAATGACCGACCACTGTAAGAGTTGCTTAACTTCAACGATCGCAGCCGAACGCGCCGCGGACACGGAATAAATACGGGAGGATTAATACATGAAGTTATGCATCAATCCCTTTTCAGGGATCATCGCATCGGATGAAGCCTGTAAGAACCTTACGGCTATAGGCGTCTCTCACTCTTTATTCCCAATCGCCCCGCGGGGATTGCCACTGGGGGCACATGGGAATGAAGATTGCACTAGAGTGGGGGACTCTAGTTGTTTTATTCCCATTTGTCTCCGGTGGCATTACCTGCGGGGTCCTTTATTCAAAGTCAAAACATGGAGTATCTAATCCAAGCGTAGTCTTCGTTTATTAATAAGGAGGCTACTGACTATAGCACACCCGTAGTTCATGCTTATAACCAGAAGGGCCTTGCAAGCTTCATCTGAAGCGATCATCCCCTGAGAGGGAGAATTATATCTGAAGCTGTGTTTCGCAGTACAGTTATGAGTGGGATCTATTCTAAGGAAGTAAGACAAAATGAAATCCGAGTGCGATTCAGAATACTACAACGCCCTCTATTGATGATGAATATAGATTTCGTTGCCGGACAAAAACCCTGGCATTTGGAATTTTGTTTAAAATGGAGTATTGTCCGTTTACTCTAGGGATGCCTCGACACGCCTTTTTGGCTATACAATACCGATGCTTTTATAAAAATATAGGCGATATCGTAACGCTTATTGAACTAAAAATTTAAATTTAAAAATAGACACCGACACCTAAAAATAATTTAAAAAGTGAAATTATAAACTGTGCTGCCCCATTAAGCTATAATAAATTATGTTATTTTATTTCTGCCATAATAATTATGACAACCCAACAAATTATAAAGGAATATAACGTCAGTTAACTAAATATGCGCGAACAACATACACCGTGAATATTGAGATACCCGAGTAATTACTGGCTGATTCAGACAAAGTTTTAGGTTATATTTCCGCAAAAAAAAAATGGATGCGTGTAACTTATGTACGCGCGTGAGAAGTTATACTTCTTTAGCATCATTAAAATATTTTTTAATTGCATGCAAATAATTAATAATTACAATAAAATAATAAGAGGACTGGAAAAGGATAGTTAACACAGTCAATTAAGTTCAGTTTTAATTTGAAAAATTAAAAAAAATATTCAAATAAAATCACTACTGAATTTAAGTTATTAGTCCATATGTAATTAGCACTTGTAAGTAACTAAAACACGTTGTGTTCTTGACCTTCACAAGTGCTTGTAACAGCCTAGACTGAATAAATTTCATTTCATTTCATTTCATTTCATTTCAATGTCCCGTTCAAATCTGCCCTGTTTGCTTTGTTCAAATCTGCCCCACGGTCACTTGGAAAATAAAATATTACAAATAACGCGCCCGCGACTAACTTCATTATGTTAAAATTTTGTGTTACAGTGATGAAAATTTCACTCTCATAAATTTTTCATAACGCGGCTAAAGAAGTATAACTTCAAAAAACTTAAGTCAAATTTTTCGAAAAATGCCCCCACGTTCACGCTCTTATTTTGCAATTATGAAACCTTAACAATTTTAATAATTGTTATAAATTGATTCTATTGATAAACCTCTTTTAGGATCTACGTCATTTAAATGGATAATAATTCCAAAATAGGGATGTTATTTGAAAATTTGCGCCATTTTGTAATCGATATAAATCAATATTTTTATATGGAGATGTAGTACGTTTACTGATGTGACGGTTCGCACTATTTTTATATACTCGATTTTTAAGATCCTCAGGTAACTCAAAATTATTGTTAAAAATTTACCTGGTTTAGGTGCTTGAGGTACTGTTTTGCTAAAATTGGCTTTTCTGCATTGCTCGATTACATATCTAAAACAATAAAGAACAATTTAGTAAATGCTTATTAAAGTCAATTGACTTCGATCAACATATTTAACAGTTATAGAAGACAAATAAAATATAACACTTGCCTAAAATCTTTGGGGGTGACATCGGACACAAACCAAGGGATTTTCTTCACATGAAATCTGACCTGAAAATATCAATATCGAAAAGATTTAAAACAGTAACTAGACTAATATCTCGTTTTATAATCGCAGTTTTAAAATTTAAAAGGGCGACTGATTTACTCATAAATTTTTAAATTTAGGTAGGTTTATGTGCCTGAATAAATAAATGTATATATCGCAGTAAGATAGATAAATCCGTTATATAGTGAAATCCCTAGGGATACAATTATATACTTTAAACATAGTTATACGAAAGCGATTCATTACTATCATACTAGGAATATAATTATAAAACGGATCAGATTCAGTGACATAATTATTTTGGTTGATTCAGTTTAATGAAATAATTGTAGGAATGCAGATGTCATAATTCCGGGTTTTGTCAGATCATAAAATCTCAGCACTGTTAATTAGTTTTAAGTAGTTGAAAATATAATGAAAAAAATGTACTAACACCAAGGTTTTAATTAATATTTTACGAACACCAAGGATATAAGTAATATAGTTATACCCCTAGGGATATAACTATATTACGGATTTATCGATCTTATTGCGATATAAACATACCTTTTGTACTATCTTCTGTGATATAAGAAAGTGGGCTAAGCACAAGTCGGCATATAGTTCGTAACCCGCATTGTCACACACGATGTCTGTAAAGAGAAAATAAATAAATCAATAAATGTATGAAGTTTGGATATCACATACTATTTATAACATTGTCTTCGTCCTGAAGTAAGTGACTTAGTTAAACAATTGTGTAGTGGATAACTGATTGAAAGATTAAATTTCCACAAACACCTAGATCTTCGACAATCTTATATATAAAATTCTCGTGTCACAATGTTAGTTACTATACTCCTCCGAAACGGCTTGACCGATTTTTATGAAATTTTATATGCATATTACATGGGTCTGAGAATCGGCTACTATCTATTTTTCATATCCTTACGTGATAAGGGTTGTCCACCTGTAACGTAGTGTTCTGAAACCTACAATGCGCCTTCGCGCCAAAATTTAATCTGTTTGGTATTGTAACGTAGTGTTCTCATATGGTTTAGGAGGAATGTTATCCCAGGAAATTGATGGAACACTACGTTACACTCCTCTAAAAACTTTTTTTTGGACAATTTTTTTTTTATTATGTGGTATTAAAAAATACATATAACCTATTTTTTACTTTCTACCACCTGCCCCTATTTTTATGGCGGTACGAAGTTCGCTGGGTCAGCTAGTAACTATATACCCTGTATATGTTATCAGTATAATACACACATCAAAAGTGTCTAGGGATCAACATATATTTTTGCAATAACTTTTCTCCTGATTGATATTAATTAAAATTTTCTTTAAGGATTCATCAAATAAAGTGTTTTCGTTTGTCACAGTAACGATAAACCAAGTCACCTTTGCATTAATAAAGAAATTTGCCATTTTCCTAATAAAGGGATTTTTGACATTTGAACCACTAACACAAAAGTTCGAAAAAAAGACTGAAATAACAGTTTTCTCTAAAATTTTACTGGGTAACTTAAACAATTAATAATCCGTATTTCTACCGCGAACACTAACAACACAAGAACATCGGTTTGGCATACTCAAAATGAGTTCATCCAAATCACGCTGTGGAATGGCCGCCCATGTTCGTTGCAACAACAAAAAAAGGTCTTCTTGCGACTGGATACCCTCCATATTCGGCAGAGCTCTTCTCTGTAGCATATCCCATGCATGCTCAATCGGGTTCAAGTCTGGCGACTGAGCAGGCCAGGGCAGGACATTGATGTTAGCTGCGACGAGAGTCTGTCTTACAACTCTTGCGGTGTGCGGTCGTGCATTATCATGCATTAACTGAAATAAGGGACCGATTTGCACTTGTAGAGGAACGATGACGTCTGATACAATCGTCTCAGCATAAATTTGAGCGTTGAGGTTGCCTCTGATCCAAATCAACTCAGTTCTTCCGCCGATCCAAATACCCGCCCATACCATGATGGTTCCACCACTATAAGGATGGACTTCCTGGCAGGATTTTAATCGCTGTTGGCGTCCAGGGGTTCTCCAGTGTCGTATACGTCTTGTATCCGGTCTCATACCAAAACGAGACTCATCAGAAAAGCACACGAAACGCCATTGTTCTTCTGCCCAATTTCTGTGTTCAAGAGCCCATTGATATCGAATCCTACGATTGTGCATTGCTATAGGTGGTACCCGTAGTGGTCTTCGGGAATGAAGGTTCACTTCATGCAAGCGGTTTCTGACTGTTTGGTCGCTAATTAAGTTCCCTGAAGAGTGATGAAGCCTCACGGCTAACATCATGGCGGTTATTGTTGGAGCTCTTCGAGTTAAGATTTGAATGTATCGGTCTTGTCTCCGTGTGGTGCAGCGATACCGTCCTCCATGGCGCTCAGCCACGGTACCAGTGCTTCGGTATCGTGTCCAAAGTCGACTGATAACACTCTGACTTGTATTCAGAGCTAAAGCCACAGTACGTTGTCGGGAACCAGCTTCTATCATTCCCACGGCTCTGAGCATTTCTTCCCTGCTTAAATGACGTCGCCGCTCCATAATAACGTTGGTTTTAATCAGTAGTAGGGAAACAGTAGCACTAATAATGTCTTCAATGCGTTGTATGTTTTTATAGGGAAAATATTGACAGCTGATTTTCATCTTTTACTCGAATTTGATTCACAGTTCCTGATTCAAATTATGAAATGCACCAAAAAGGATCCATATAAATTTATAAAATCATAAATTTATTACAAAGCCACATCTCAATCTCAAGAAATCCGCATAAAAATGCTTGATCCCTAGACACTTTTGATGTGTGTAATATGTATTCTATCCGTTACCCCAGTACCTCATAACACAAGCGTACAGTGCTTACTTTGCGGTTAGGTTAATTGGTGTGAGTGTCGGAAATATTTATTTATTCTTACCAAACATAACGTATTGTGGTATCGTCATTTTAGCCGGGCAAGGAACCTTGGGCGATTCTTGTTCTTCCGATCCATCTGCTGCCGGTGGCGGTGCTTCTATACTTACTGAAGCCTGTATATAAAATAATATTTGTTTAAATCGACGACCTCCGTGGCTGAGGTTTGAAGTTGTAGCCTACTCGAGAGGTCCCGGGTTCGAATCCCGGTGGGGGCAGATGTTTGTGTGATGAATACGAGCATTTCTACTCCAGTCATGGATGTTAAATATGTATTTCTATATTAAATATACTTATATATGTATCAATGTATTGTATTCTATCCGTGACCCTAGTATCCCATAACACAAACGTACAGTGCTAACTTTGGAGCTAGGCTAATTGGTGTGAGTGTTGGAATCAAAACAAATATAAGTTGCACTACGATCGATCGAGGAGCTCGATAGCGAAAATGGTTAGCGCGTTCGGCTGCGAATGTTGAAGTTAAGCAAATTTCGCAGAGGTCGGTCATTGGATGGGTGACCAAAAATTTACTATCTTGAGCTCTTCCGTACTTCGGAAGGCTCGGTAAGCCGTTGATTGCGGCTGCATATGTAGTTGTAAGCACCCACCAATCCGCACTGGGCCCGTGTGGTGGGTCATATCCCGATCTCCCTACACCATCCATAGGGAAAGCCTGTGCCCCAGCAGTAGGGTCATTTATAGGCTGATAATGAATATTTTAATGCGAAAGTGAGTCTGTCTGTCTGTTACCTCTTCACTTTGAGAGATTTGGTATCTTTATAGATATTTTAAGGCCCCGGAAAGGACATAGGATAGTTTTCATCCTAGGACTCATCCTTTATGGGGGTAAAAAGGGAATTGGAAGTTTGTATGGGAAACCAATATTTGCATGTAGTAAAGTCGCGGGCACTAGTATTAAATATAATTAAGCATTATACTGGTGTAGATTCTAGCATAATTCCCTAAACCTGAACTTAAATCTGACAACAGTGTTGTATTCTTGGCATTCTCTATACAGAATAAAAAAGAGACATTGATGTTGAATTTAGTTTTAAGTTTAGAGAATCATACCTAAATCGACACTACTTACTATAAATAAATATAATATTTTAATTTAGAACATTGATAGATTCCAGCATTAGAGCACTCATTTCATCATTATCATCATCATTAGCCTATTAATGTCCCCACTGCCGGGGCCCAGGCCTTCCCTATGGATGGAATAGGAAACTTGGGCTATGACCCACCACGCTGGCCCAGTGCGCATTGGTGGGTGCTAACGACTGCAGATGCAGCCGGGACCAACGGCTTAACGTGCCTTCCGAAGCACGGAGGAGCTCGAGATAGTAATTTTTGGTCACCCATCCAATGACCGACCACTGCGAAAGTTGCTTAACTTTAACGATCGCAGCCGAACGCGCTCACCGCTTGCGCCATCGAGCTCCTCTTATTTACTACATTTTTAATAAATTGAAAATTCAACTACAAAACATTTTTCTTTTGATAAATAAATACGTATGTATCTTAGTACAAATTATACTCAAGATATGTTTAGTTCAGATTTTTATTATATTATATTCTCGTACTATTCCTATGTTACTGTTATATATTAATGTAAAAGTACATATTTATTGTAAAAAATCAAACTAGGAACAAATATCTACAAAAAAAAACAAAATGTCTACCAAATATAAGGTCTGTATATAATGGCAAACCTCTTTGCAATGCGGCAAGCCAGCCAGGGTTGCCAGCCTGTGACAACTGCATTGATATTTGAATGTAGAATTCTGTAACATTTGTTACTTACAATATATTATTTGTATTGATGTTTAAATAAAAACTATTTTTTTTCTTTTTTTATGTTAATATGGATGCAAATGAGCATTATGCCCGTCTTATGGTCAGCAGCCATCATAGCCTATAGATGCTTGCGATACCAAAAATAATTCCCTAGCCCGTGGAGCCCTGGAACCTTACCGACAGAACCACAACACCACCAAAAGGTAGTGTTATTTTGCTAATAAAAAACTAAAACTACTTTAAACACATTTTTTATTTAACTGCCTTCTGTAAGGTGGAGATTACTTCCCCAAGCGGGCGCTCCAATTCAAGCGGATAATCCGCTTTGCCCTACCTCTCTGAAAATCTCGCTTATCTTTAAAGATGATTTGATGGTTTTAAACGGTTTGCACTTTTAAAGTTAAATACAGGAAATATTTATTGGATGTGCAGAAGTTGTAATGAGCGTCGTTAGAACGCCATGGTTGATTTTGAGCACCATTTCATACACTGTAAATTTTAATTTAATTTAGCTTTTTTGGCTTTCATTTTGTTTTACAATATTTATCCAATTGATTTCAGTAATTAGACATTTGTATTTAATATCTTTTATTATTAATTTTTATTTTAAATGATATTTGAGACCTTAAATGTCATTTAATTTAAATTAATATCGATGACCTTAAATGTCATTTAATTTAAGTAGGCTGCTGCTGAAAATCAGTGCCGTGGCACATGTTGCCTCGACATATACTGAGCAGTGGCCTGTTTGGTACACAATCACCTATATGTAACATACTAAGTTATTTTTGTAATTTGTGCCAAATAAACGTTTTTATTGTCATTATTATTGTTACAAATATATAAGATCAAACTTACCCCTTCAATAGCTTTCGCCATGTTTTCAGCTTTGGTCATTATTTGGTCTGCCGCTTTGGCAGTGTCATCTACAAGCAACTGTAACAAAAAATAATCATTAAATTAATAATAAAAACTATAACATATGTATAAAAACAATCAGAAAAAGGATAAACAATATATGTAAGAGCAAAAAGCCAACATCACGCGGTGTTCCCAGGCGGTCACCCATCCAAGTACTGACCGCGCCCGACGTTGCTTAACTTCGGTGATCGGACGAGAACCGGTGTATTCAACGTGGTATGGACGTTGGCGATTATCGAATCAAATTAAGGCATTATAATATAGTTCAACGATTCATAAAATTTTACTAAAATAAATAGAAATACTGAATACTTACTTAAAAACAAAAATAAAAACAGTTTCTAAATAGAGTTAGGTTTTATTTTTATTTAGAATTGAGGAGGAACATTATGCTTATCTTTGTTTAACGCCATCTATCGAGTTACGTTGGAACTTTTACCTCTACGATTGCTTTTGGAGAACACATTTCCAAAGAGTGAATTGATGACATGTATTATTATAATCAATAGTCATTTAAGTTTAGTTGAAAGACATTCATCATAGTTGCTTAGATAAACCCAGGTATACGCACGATACAAGCGTGGTAGCTTATATTATAGCTATCAATGGGATGGTTTGATTGTAATGATATGAATAGTTTTGAGTTACAAATACCATTTAAAGTTATTATTATTATTACCTTGTCTTTGAGATCCGTTATCATCTGGAACGGATCCATGATGGCACTATTAACGGTTTCGTTACCATTTAATGTCACTTGGTTTCCTACCGACAATGATAAGTCGCACTTGTTTGCCCATAAGCATATCTGTGAAGTTTGAATACCGATTAGTACATGTTAAGTATCACTACATATAAATAAAACAGTCGCTTCCCGCTGTGTATCCCTATGTATGCTTAGATCTTAAAAACTACGTAACGGATTTTGATGCGGTTTTTGTAAATAGATAGTGATTCAAGAGGAAGGTTTATATGTATATATGCATAATATAGTAGAGAAACACTGATAATTTAAGAGGTTTTTAATGTAAGGTCGTAAATAAATTTTATTGCGCTTACATTGCAAAGGCTGGCTGAACCCTACGAGATAGATCAAAATAATGTGCTACTGTAATGTACACCTTAAAAAGGTCTACGAAAAAGTCCACCGATGGTATATGTCTATCTCTTAGGGATAACCCACAATAACTATTTTTATCCTATACTTATAACGAGAAATAATAGCTTATTTATGAAGAGCTTTTCAGCATTATTACATTCAACCTTAACCAATTAAGTACCTTACATACATTGTGCATTTAATACAGATCAATTTGGCCCTTTAAAGCATGTAATTTAAGAAAAAAAATTTGGACGATTCAAAAGAGTTGTACTATAGTACAACTCCCAAAATATTATATTGATGTCTGATTAAAAAATAGAAAAAGTGGATTTCCGCTTTAATGGTAACTGCATAATAGCTAAATATTCAGCTTGTTGTAAGTGGATTTCTTCTTTTCGAATGCACACATAAAGTAGGTGCTGTTAGTTTCTTTGTCATATCAATAGAATAAGAGATACAACATTTTATTACTTTAATATTTTTTTATATTAGTTTAATTGACGCCTTACAGAATCATTTTTAATGAGAAAGATTACTGACAGTTTGTGAAGTGTACAATGAAATTGTATCTCATATATACGCATAGCATCATTACCATGACATAGACAGCTTCTTATATTTAAATTTTTCTGATATTTATTTATTTATTTTATGCACACCAATCATTTACTAAAACACTTTTCAAACCACTTCAAAAACTGTCATATTTAATGTTATTGATGTTGATCCGTAAACTATTATTTAGGTACCTTGATAAGAGTGATAAAGTCAGCCTTTCTTTTGTCCTTCTCGCTCTCAGGTAACATTGTCACTAGTTTATCAGCCACTACGCACATCGGTTCCACAGTGCCCAGAAACGCTTGCGACTTTTGCTCTTGGAAAGGGTCGAAATTAGCTAAAGTTTTGCTGGAAAAAAAACAAATCAAACATGGCATTCTTCTAACAGTATAACAAAAAGATAATTTCAGGCAATTTTTTTTAATATTTCCACTCTGAGAAGACAATTAATAATAATTATACACATATAATATTCATAACTCAATTTTAATAATCTTATTCAAACATTTTCATACAAAGTTCTTGTTACTTCCAATAGATGGCGCTGTCACAGATTTCAATTAGTTACATTATTTTGTTAAAGGTAGGTTCTTACAATACTTTTGTGTTCTAATAAAGTTTAACGACTTACTTTAGTTCACAGCCTTCTCTTAGCCTCCTGTAAACATAGCATTCACTGAAAACCCATGTATTTGTGAAGTAGTATTGGTTTGGCGCCGCTTGTATCCATTCGTTCCATTTTTTAGCTTCAGGCGTGTCCACTTGCAATAAATCATACTTTTTGTTTGTGACCAAATCATTTTTGAGTTTGCTGACATAATGTATGAAGGCGCGCAAGTCTTGATCGGACTGAAAATGAAGTGTGGTGTAAGAATCGCAACGCCATCTGGTATATGAGAAGGAAATGTTATAATTTTAATGCTATATTTACATATCAAATAATAATCTGTATGGAATAAAAAAATAACAGCCTTTATTATAATACGTAATTATTTTATTTAAAGCAATAGAACTTACGGCACCACATGACGATTTAATTGACGCCGCCTCCCTCGAACAGTAATCTATAACTTTCGTCAATATTACGGGTAATCTTTCTATGAGCGAATAATAAGCGAAACTCCTATAAAAAAATAGTATTAAAATTAAGATATAATAAAAAAATAAAATACAAAAATGTGTGCCGCCCGAACAGGGACTTGAACCCTGGACCCTTGGATTAAAAGTCCAATGCTCTACCGACTGAGCTATCCGGGCTTATGTTTCAATTGCGAAATTATTGATACCTTAATATAAGCATAACTATGTTAAAATAATTATAGGAACTTGGTTTTAGGGTTCCCTACCAAACGATGAAAAATGGAACCCTATTAATATGCACCCACTTTCTACCACAAAGCTAATAACATCTTTAATAAAAATAGGTAGACACCTCAAATTTTCACAGAATGCATGACACTGAAACAGAATATAACCTATGACACTGTTACTGCTATCTTATCAAATAATAATAACAATCAACAGTACCATAGACAATAACATAAACATAATACATCATCACAATCATCACTCTCTACTGTAAGTATGTTTATGAATAAATTAATTCTATTCTATACATCAACATAACATACTACCTAATTACTATTTTATTATTTATTTAGCGAAAATTATTCAATTTATTATTACTAACAAATAAAATAAAACAAATTAGATCATAATTGTCTCTCAATGTCTATCAATATTGTTAGTATCAATGAACAAAGACGTCAATGAAATTATAATATGATTATAATAAAATAAAGTTTATGTCCTTGATCAAATACAGTTTAATTCAAACACATTAATATATGAAAATGGTAGACAGTTAATAAATTAAATTACTACCTACCTTTAAGATTAAAAAACTTAAAGGTAGGTAGTATTTTAGAATTCTGTAGATACATGGTGTTATTACAGCCATTAATACTGTAATTTTGTGAATGCTAAGTAAATAGAACAATTCATTACTATACCATTTTTTTCTATTTATATGACTATTACTTATGAGGATATAAAAAAATATAGTAAAAATTGTTTTGTTTTTTAGTATCAAAAACAGCAAGATAATTTTAATAAAAATTCCAGTTTTTTTTTTGTAGCATGCATAGTTTGTGCATCATCCATGGGAAAGATAGGAAAATATGATAAATCAAGAAATGGAAATTTAAATAGGATCGATTCAGCAGCAGCAATTAATTATATACATACTAGAGGCTACCCGTGACTTCATCCTCATTTAAATTTTTTGAGAATCCCACAAATACCTATCATTTCCAGGATAATAAGTATCCTTTGTCTCAATCCAGGTCATATAACTATATACATATTAAATGTTATCCCAATCCATTAAGTAGTTTTTGTGTGATTGAGTAACAAACATACAAACTTTCTCATTGATATTATTAGTAGGATTTACAATTTAATATGATAGTGGTGGTAATTCTGGCTTGATTCTCAAAACCTAAACTTCAATTTGACAACAGTGCATCCATGTAATTATCTTTATAGAATGAAAAGGGGGGATTGATGTTAAATTTAGTTTAAAGTTTAGATAATCATACCAGAATTGACACCAGTGTTATGAATATTTATACAAATATTATAGTTTATAGAATTCAACAAGTATTAATGGCAACCAGGGGGCCACTCGCTTAACGGAAATGCTTTGGAAAACGCTAACGCTTTTGATTTCATTTTGTTATTTCTGACCGCCGAAGGTTTTCAAATACCTCACACTCATTTTTTTAAGATTGTTATTACCAATGCAAAAGAAAAAAACCTCAGGCGGCTAGAAATAACAAAATAAAATCTAAAATTAAATCACCAACATCAGTGTCGCAATGAAACATTACTACCTATTGATAAAGCCTAAAATTAGATATTCAAACAAAAAAAAATTTTGTTTTTTAAACAATATTAGGTCTAATGGAGAAGTTATACCTACCTATCTTAACGAGATTCTTATTAGATTCATAATAGTTTATTGAATAAAAAAAAACTTTTTTGCAGAATTTACTATTTGTTGTGTTACGTACTTTTTAAAAGTGCCTTGCAGCGGCATGTTGATCGGTGTAGATGTGCCCAATAAGGGGCTAGGTTTCTCCACAGGTATAAAAGGTCCACCGTAAATAAAGTCTGGTTTTGTTTTGAATTCGTCTTCGTCCGAATCATTTTTGGTTTGCGAGACTATACTTGCCGATTTAGAAGAAACTTTTGATGGTGGAGACGGAGGTGATTTCACACTCGTCTTACTCATTTTGATATTTATTTTTTTGAGTTATTTTACACACAATTTCGAAAACATTGAGGCTCCGGAGACTAGAACATATTTTGAAAATTGACACGACATTGGGGCTGCCAGATGCAATTTTGTGATTTCCCCAAAATGATAAGTTTTATAAAAAACCCCAATCGCTTTGTTACAAAAAAATTAAATGGCTTATTATATTTGTTAATTTAAGCTTCATCCAAAATATCAAGTAGGTACTTTTTCAGTCTCATATTCTTCTCCTATTTGTGAATACACATTTTCAGAGTTAAAAATTCTAGCCACCCGTAATAATTCCGGTCGGTTCAAACTTTAAGCACCCATCGTTATTTTTTAACCAGTTCACACTATCATATTATGATCTGCTGTTTTCATGAACCTTCCGTTTCGGAGTATATTTTTGACAATATTCAATACCGAAATAGCAGTTCTACAGCAGCATTAGCAAATGGCGAAGTCAAACAAGCCCTGACAAATTTCTTTATCTTAAACTAACCCAACCTCCACAAGATTTTTTATAATTTAATAAATACTTCTCCCCAAAACACATCAGCTTCCATATAATATTTTATTTTCCCCAATAGTTTCCCAGGTACTATTTCTTCAAAATTTCCCCAAGAGTCAACTTTTTCCCCAGATTCGCGAAAAAACCCCCCAATCTGGTAACGCTGCACGACATTGAAATAACATTGACACTGACAGCTTTCGTACATTTACAAATACTGTTTTGTATAAAAATGTTAGAGGTGTACTTTTCTGATTATTTACCTTGATAAAACTTGGTGTAATGACTTTTGTATCCTAAATTTTAAATCACATATGTAGGTTTGTTTAATACTATTCAAATAATAGGCATCAAAATCCCAACAAAACAATATTTCATTAATTTTAACTAAATTTTATTTTAACGCACGTATTTTACCCTTAGAAGATTTTACCATAATAATTATCAAATATTATGCCTCATCTCAGCTCAGGGCCGCGCCTTTGGTCCTTGTGCCGCTTTATTAGCCTGTGGGTCAATCAGGCCCTGGGTAACGAGATCAAGAAAGATTATCCAAGACGATTTTACATGAAGATCTATATGCACGGCTGTTTTTAGGGTTCCGTACCTCAAAAGGAAAAAACGGAACCCTTATAGGATCACTTTGTTCTCCGTCTGTCAAGACCGTTTTTCTCAGAAACGCACGGAGGTATCAAACTGAAATTCATATCTACTGTCCCTTGGAGCTGTGAAAAAATCAAACTTCTAAGCCTAAGCAATCGAAAAGTACAGCCGTTTATGCCGCCAATTTTCGAAGCTCGCACGGGAATCAAACCCTACAGAAGTAACGTCTTATAGTAAATTTTTAGTTACATCATTTAGTAAAAAATATTTTTGAAATTTTAAAGTTACTACCTCTTTTCTCATGAACGCGTAGAGGTATTAAATTGAGTTTGTACGGAACCCTCGGTGCGCGAGTCCGACTCGCACTTGCCCGGTTTTCTTGTTCCTTCCAGGACGTGATATTCGCATTTATACCCAATGACGAATTCACACCCACTCCAAGCTCTTGTTAAATTTTCGTAGAAAATCTTTCCGCTGCCGCTAGTGTAAAATCTTCTTAGAACATCTTTCTTGATTCTTCTCTTTTCACCAAACCTTACAGCCGGCTATGGTGTTATGTCAGACTGTTACGGGCTAAAACACACCCGTGGTGGGACTCCTCCAGTCAGAAAGGCCTCTCAAGCTTCAATTGATGGGATCATCCCCGAGAAGGGGATGATGCAGACCTTTATTTATCTAACAAGTCAGGTCGGTTTGGTGGGAACTTACTCCTGCAGATGCAGCCTGGACCAACGCCTTAAAATGCCTTCACAAAGCACGGAGGAGCTCGAGTTAAAAAGTTTTTGGTCTCAACTTCCACGATTGCAGGCGCAGGGTTACACATAAAAAATCCATTAGACTTATACCGGCCATACACACTACGAGAAATCGTTACGAACAGACTGTACAGTTCGAACGGTACCGATAAATCGTAGCGTGTCTGTTATAAAACTGCACAGTTTTCTATACGTACGCCACGTCCGATAAACTGTACAGTCTGATCGTAACGATTTCTCGTAGGGTGTATGGGTGCGGCCAGAGTGCACTCAGATTCAGATTTCGAAAACAAGCGCGAGAAATAAACAGTGCAGTCTAAGCAGGTTGCCTGCTTTTTCTCGCGCTTTGTTTGCTGAGTCTGAATCTGAATCAGGAGTGCACTCTGGCCGTACCCTTCGACTGCACTGTTTATTTCTCGCGCTTGTTTTCGGAATCTGAATCTGAGTGCACTCTGGCCGCACCCTATGGCTAACATTATACCGGCCATACACACTACGAGAAATCGTTACGATTAGACTGTCCGAACGGTACCGATAAATCGTAGCGTGTATGTTATAAAACTGCAGTTTCCTATACTAAACGAAATCGTATAAACTGTTCCGTTCGAACAGTACAGTCTGATCGTAACGATTTCTCGTAGTGTGTACGGGTGCGGCCAGAGTGCACTCAGATTCAGATTCCGAAAACAAGCGCGAGAAATAAACAGTGTAGTCGAAGGGTACGGCCAGAGTGCACTCCTGATTCAGATTCAGAAAACAAAGCGCGAGAAAAAGCAGGCAACCTGCTTAGACTACACTGTTTATTTCTCGCGCTTGTTTTCAGAATCTGAATCTGAGTGCACTCTGGCCGCACCCTATGGCCGGTATTAGGTACAAAAGCTAAGCTTTTTTATCTGTATTCATCATAGAAACAGTTGCACCACCGGGTGTGTTGGCGCCACCCTGAAAACCGGTGCACAACACATACCTCTCACATCAAGGTCTTTTTGATTATTGACAGCTGCGATGAAGTGTATTTTTTGTCTATTACAGTGCTATTACACGAAAATCTAAAGCGGTGGAGCAGCTATTTTGTTAATTTTTATTCCACTAGAAACAATATAAATTCGCTAAACGTGTCGCTAAATTTATCATGTTGCGTATTAAATGAATTAAAAAATTAAGAATCGTCTCATTGTTATTATTGTCATCACCCTTAAGTACGGAACCCTTACTTTTTTTTGGTAATTTTAATAAGGGGCTAGTGAATTCAGTTAATCTTTTATTCGTACACTCACATGCCATAAACACCACACATAACTGCATCACTGGGCGTCATAATACGCATAACCGGTAAGTTTTCACCATCAATATCCCAACCGGAAGTCAACATTTTAGTAAGTAAATGGATAACTCAAAGTAAATTAATTCTGAAAAAATCAAGAGTTCACTCAAACCGTTTGACAAGGAAACTGAAACTACGTTCAAGAGTCGACCATGAATTTGTTCTATTATTAGGCATATAATGTCTGCTCAGTTGCTCCCATTCCCTATCTTTACTTTAACTAAATTGTAAAAAACTTGAATAAAACAATTAAAGCCGCTGTTCTCATGTGGATTTAATTACTTAGACGAGTGAGAATAAATACGTTTTAGTAACGTATTGCATTTGATAATATGGTTTCCAAGCAAATGTTTAAAGCGATAGCGCCATCTATTGACATTATTTTGAACTAATATTTTGTCATCAAAATAATTGTAATGTACGCAATTTTAAAAGAAAAACAACAGACTGTTTTATTACATAATTTATTGTTTAAAAACATATACTTAAAAAAATTAAACATTAAAATATAGTAACGTACTCAGTGTACAGTATCAAAATAAAAAAATCTTTGAAACAAAAACATCAATTCTAAAAACGAATCAACCTTATTCCAGTTGAAATGAAGATAACCATTTCAGCATATTAAAGACAACAAAATGAATTCATAGTTTATCAGGGAAATTGTTTTTCATTTCAATTTGAGTAATTTCATTTTCTTTTTTTATAATTTTACAATCTTTTTTTTACAATGAATTCAGAAGTTCACTCTTTCGAAATTGTTATTAAATTAACAAAATCAATTGTTACTTTTAATTTTAACATACATTCTTGGTTAAATTAACTACATCAGTAGACATATTCATGAACAAATACTGCCAAAAACAATAAATACATAATTAGTGTAGTATGTGGCTGGTAAATGTAATTAATTTTATCATTCATATATTACCTACAGCTGCAAATTAACACGATTTGCTTGAGTCAGTTCTTAGATACTGTTTTATTTTGTCATATTTTGTCAACAGTGGTAGTAAACAAGGTTAGTCATTGGTAAAATACTAATTATTATAGTTGTCTTTAAAAAAAATTGCTACACCAATAGGTACAAAATTTAAAATCTAAAATAATAGACTTTAATAACGAAAATAGAAAAATTCGTTACCCAAATTCAGTCATATCATACAATTAAATTCACACGAACACATTTTAATAATTGAGAAAAATCTACCATTCAAATATTAACATAAAGGAGAATTATTTATTATCAACATTAAACATCTTATAAAAATTATATCATTTATTGAGACAAGTTTTTCATAAAGGAAATAAGATTCAGAATAATAAACTTATCTATGCAATTATTTGGGACAAAGCTGGTATAAGGGACCAGGTAAGTAAATAAAATAGTTTAAATATCCATATAAAATTCCGCTTATCACTACAAAAAGAACACAAGAGTAACTTACACTACCTATCTTCTAAATACTTATGCACGACTTGTGAACAAAAGATAAAGTAAAATGGGCAGTCAAAAATGTTCAATCATAATTAAAAATGTAGGTATCCAAATAAAATGGTTGCAGCATTATATTTATAGAACATAATGCAGTTGGAGCGCAGCGCACGGAATACGCAATGCATGAAGTCAAATCATATATATACAAAAGGTCAAAAGTAGACATTTTGTCCTCATGATCAGTTTTTACAATGTTTGAACAAGGCGGTACAGTTTTAATAAATTTTAAATATTCACAGGACGTATACACAAGACGATGAGTTACTGACGCGAATTTATATTCGCTTTTGAGTTAGTATTTGCTATGGGGCCACCCATTGCATGTTCCGTGCGGTCCATCTAGGTTTTGTACTGTAATCTGAGCTTACAGCTGTCAAAAAATTATTATGCAGTTTCCAATATGAAAAGGTTCGCAAAGAACTAGCAAGCAAATTAAATGGTAGTTCAAAGATGGTTTCAAACAACCAAAAATGAAACTATGGCTATGAATGAAGTCATGTTGTGTCATTCAAGAACGACACAACATGGCTTCATCATGCAAGCAAAATTAAACCTTAATATACCAAACCTTTTCATACTAGCATAACTGTAGTAAAAATTTTATATTATTCAAATTGGGTGTGTAAAAACATGATTTATAATTTTTGGAATCTCAGTCATTTAAAAATACTTATAAAAAAAACATGCTATGTTACACTAATAAACTTTCATAAAATGATAGCCATGTGATTATAATGTCAGTCAATAGTCAAGTAATAGGGGTGCAATTATTTGTCAATATTAATAAATGTTAAAATAATTTGCAAAGAATGATCTAGGTACAATATTTTTATGTAACATTTTAAAAATACTATTGATTTGTAAAAATTGGAAATAGAAAGTTCCAATCATGATAATATTTATTTTTTTAGTGGAGTTACATAGTAACATTCTGAATCAATATATTTTTAAGTCTTAATTTACTAATATTGTTTATCATAATTCTTTAATTTCAAAACTTTGGTAACTATCTTAAGAGATCATGATAATCCATTTTTAAGTAATGGACTGTCTTCAGTCTTACAAGTAAATACAGACAAATCAGGGTAATAAAAACAAAAATGGTCTTCAGAAGACCATTAAAAAAATAGGCAAAAATACTTATTGCTATTAAACTGTCTGCTTATAAAATACTTTTTTTCATTATTATAACTATTTAATAATTATTTAATGTTAATAAAAGCAATAAATTTTGAATGAAAACTTGAACATAATAATAAAATCTCTTAGTATTAAAAGTATTGAGCAATATTCAATAAAAAAATATCCTTACTTTAACAAGCAGAAAGGAATTATAAATACTAAAAGTAAAGTATTCTTTACTCAGATCATTTCAGAGTTAGTCAAAAGTTAAAAAAATAAGGCACTGATAAAACAGCTTGTCTGTTACCGACTTCTTTAATACCTTTTCCTTCCATTACTCTTCACTCTTGTATTTTTCAGTGTGATCGTTGTAGACTGCAATGGACGTCCATTGTTGCTGCTTCTCAATACTGGACAATAAGTGCTGCAAAATGAATAAAAAGCATAAATTAAATGAATATAATAGTCAAACTGTATCAATACAAATTTGGAAAGTTGATTACAAATGGCATTTATCAGTTAGGATAATTAGAAATCTGAATCTAACATTTTAGTGAAAAAGGCTTATCTTGATTATAGAAATTTTTTTAGATTTATTTACATAAAACATGATAAATTTTGTCGATAAAGTTTTATATTTTCAGTTAGATCTGTTAATTTCCTTTATTAAAATTGAAGGCACAAGTTTCTGAATTATATATTAATGATGAATTATATTTATTATAGTGGTTTGTCTATGCTATGCCAACTTACATTGTATGAGCATCATCACCGGAGGCTCCGCATGTAGCACACACATGAGACCTCAAAATGGGGCAAGTCACAATATTCTTGTTGCCAACTGTCTCTTTAACTGTATGTGTCATAAACACTAACGGAGTCTCTCCATTTTTGCGACAGAATGTACAAATCTTCCCTGCATTCACATCTTGGTACATTCTCGAAGAGTTGGGGCCAAAGTTGGAGCTGATATTTCTTCTGTACGGTGGAGGAGGAGTTGTAAACGATGTAGCCACACTAGACGATGGTGAAACACTTACAGTAGAGTTCGGTGAGACAGTGCCGCAATACATGGAAGGGGTTCTTGGTGAAGATTTCACAGGTGTCTTGAATTGTAACCCCCTGTTTTCAGTAGGAAATAGCTCATAGAATAAATTTTGGTTGGAACTGTTTTGTTCATAATATAGTTTTCGATTCGGCGGTGTGTTAGAGATGCTTGGGCATTCTGACCAAGCCATCATTTCACTGTCAATGTTTTTAACAGGAGACAGTTGTACAGGACTGTCAAAAGTTGGGATTGCACGGTCAGCGCTTCCTAAAATCTTTCTGCCAACTATTGGCCTTTGGCGTTTAGCTGCATATGGAGTCTCGTTTACAGTCTGTCTTGCTTGAAAAGTACTAGAATCGTACTCTCTGCGTGTTGGAGGAGCAGGAGGAGGCGACATGTGCGGAAATACATCGGGGGAGATGGACTCGGCCGAACTTGAAGAATGGTTGGCGATTGTAGAGTAAATTGGAGACTGCATTTGAACATTTGTGTTATAAATTGATGGTGGCATTTCAGGGCGTATTCCAATTTCTGAAATGATAAATAGGAACTTTTGAGATTACTCATACGGCCTCAGATTACAGAAGACAAGACTTGTTCTGTAATCTGAACTTAAAACACGCTTTTTGTAAACTTTATCAGTGATACCGCATTAAAGACGTAAGTAAACATTTTTTATATAATAAACTCTAATGCCTTTATGTTTATTAAATGCACCAAACTTGTTTTATTTAAACTATCTCATGTGATCGAATGAATTGAGTTAATTTACGTTCAAGCAGACAGAGGATAGGTATTAATTTCACTCACCATTTTCCGATGTTCTTGGGAATAATCTATTTAATTCAGTCATGTAATCGAACATATTTTTCGATGGGAACATTTTTGACCTGAAATACAGAATTATTTCATTGTAAGTAGAGGTACAAATTGTAAATATAGATAGAATTCTCTGTTTTTCAAGATTTCATTGTGCCATTTTTAATATACACAGGAAATACATTTGCACTTGATAGAAACAACTGAGCAACTATATTTGATTATATAAAATGAAAATGATGTTTAATTAAAATAGCAATTATTATAATAATTTAAAATGGTTAAAAATTATATTACTCTAATTATTTTGATGAAATAACAACTTTCGTATTGAACCAACGATATATTTAACACATTCTTTAGATATCAAGTGCATAATTTTATTAACAAAGGTGGATCGATCGGTTTATATTAAATATCATAAACTAAATATTTAATCGATTTTTCAACAGAAGTTGAGAAACACTCGCTTAGCTAAACAAAAGTTATTGTACAAAATAGTGCCCCTGTACTCAGAGTGCTTCATAAAGACTGGTTAAAATTAATAATAAAAAAATACTTACATTACAAACAAAATAAACCTGAAAGCGATATAGTTTAGCACTTTGAAAAATATATCACTCGAATCAAAGTATTTAAAATTATTCTGCACAAGTCTTGCTCATTGAACGTGTCGGCGAAAACTGATATTTTTAAAGGATTTCGCCGAGATCAAAAGGATGCCGCCACAGAGAGGCCGACACTCCATATGCGCAGTGGTGACAAAATGTTAATGGTAAGAAGTTCGATTCTATTCGATGTATGTTATCAAAATATTTTATATAAAATGAGTAATAATAAAATATTCGACCGTTTTAAGTAACCATTATACGTATAATTTAAGTCTAGAGTAATTTTTGTAATAGTTGATAGTTTTTTTATAATTAAATTAAATGAGTAGCTTACAATTACGACTGTATCGACCCTGACCTGTCAACTTGGAAAGAAAAGTATAATATTTTAAATCATACCAATTTGAGATATACCTCTACCCCTAAGGTTTGCAAACAATAAGAATTGACAAACGATCAAAGGAATATTTTTTTATGTAAGGGTTTTTTTAAAACAGTCAGGGCAACAAGTTTGTAAGGTGGCCTATTTTATGTTTAGATATTCTTCAACCGTGTGGACTTGACCCTTAGACTATGCCGCATCAGAACTGATGCGGGAAATTACTGCAGAAAATTTCCAGGTAATACATTATCTGAGGCGTGGTCAAAGCACGAATATAAAACTACTTGCATCATAATATTAAATCCTATCGGTTGGATTCATCAGCATATTAGCTATTTGTGCCCCACTGCTAGGGCAGAAACATTATTCTAACTAAATCCTGTAGACTACCACGCGTGCTTAGTTGGGATCGGTCAATTTGATATGGACATAACTATTTGTTTGGTTGCAGTTGCAGTCTTCTGTAATCAATCATCATCTTCATCAGTCTATTAATGTCCACACTGCTGGGGCGCAGGCCTTCGCTATGGATGGATTAGGGAGATATAAAATATCACCTTTTAATAATATGAAAGTGAAGCTACCGCGCCAATCAAAGAAAGGCCGCCCGCCTTTCGGCTTTTGCAAAAGGAAAGAGCGACACGTGTAAGTGTAATTTGTTCTACCCGTCAACAGATGGCAGTAGTGCTTCAAATCTTTTGTTTACATCTAGTTTACATTTACCACATGAACTCACAATAATTTACAAAATACACTAAAATCATTGGCAATATGTACAAAATTAATAAAACGATAAAGCATGAAAGAAGAATAATTTTTATTACTGCTAATCACCGCTAGATGTCGATATTTCTTATTCACTTCATTTATAGTTTCAATTTATTTTAACAGTCAATACTTAAATAATAATCTATGTTATTTATTGTCTACTATACCAATTGGGATCTTGCTCACCTAAGTATATTTATCCTGTTGAAATAAATAAATTTGTTTCTCAGCCGGATAAATAAAGTAATGTATAGGTAATATAATTAAGGTACGTCAACATAAGCAACGAAGAAATGATCATTTTCTAATTCGTTGGCTTGGATTTTTATTTGATCCATAATTTGATCTAATGCCCAAGCACGAACTTTGGCAGCTTCGTAATCATATCGTCATCGTCAAATTTTGTATGGAAGGAGTCGGTTTGTTCTTTCATCCGGTAGGGGCGCTGCCATGGAGCACCGCCACGGGGTGTGCAGGGGCTGCTCTATGGGCGCTGCATACTTTCATAGAAATTTTGACGTTGCGATACGATCACGTAGCTCTTCAAGTTTGTGTACCTACCTTTTTCGTATCGCCATCGTCAAAGTTTCTGTGGAAACTAAACAGCGCCCCTACCGGCGGACATCAGAACAAACAAGCTCTCTTCATAGATACTTTCTCGCTAGTTGTATGTAAGTACTTAGGATTTTTATTTGAACTGATTTCATTGGATCATGAATGGGTATAATAGGTACTAGAATATAAACATGTACTATGACGTAAGGTAATATGAGACATCTCATTGTTTGACTTTTGTCTATGAACTGTGGTCATTCATATTAGCAACCTTTAATGTCAAATGTAACTCAAATATATATTGCTCGCATTGTAATTCTTACTAAATAAAAAAAAACGTCGGGTTGCACTCTGGGAGTGCCGACAGAAGTGAAAACTTGAATATTAACGTAGTGCATTTTTGATATTTTGGAATGGTTAAGGAATAATTTTGCACGAATTGCTATAATTATCAGTATAAAAGTACTATTATTTATATGCTAGAATACAATATTTATTTATTGCGCTATCGTACACAAACATGACAATTTATATTACATTAAAAAGTTTATCTCTCAGAAAAATCAACTGACATGAATCACATTTAAGCGCACGCAACTAGCTACATCTATTATAAAAAAATGCATTTTCTTCGCAATAAAGCTGCCACCTGGACGTCCTAGTTAGACTTATTATTATAATACGATAAAAGACAGTTTCAGCTGAATTCCAACCGGTTCAGCTTGGTTTTGGTGTCAAGGGAGGTTGTGAAGCAGCTGCACGCTCTTCGCACCTTCCTATCGCTCGACGCAGCGGAGGTGGTGCTGAAGGTGGATGTCAAGAACGCCTTCAACTCCGTAGATAGAGGTGCCTTGCTATCAGTAATTCAACAAAAAATTCCTTCTATTTATAACTATCTTTGGCAATGTTACAGCAAACCTACTAAATTAATTTTCAAAAACAGCCTTTTGTATTCATCAGTTGGCTGCCAGCAAGGCGATCCTCTTGGGCCCGCTATTTTTAGTTTGGCTATACAACCCATTATTGATTCGCTAAATTCTAAATTTAATATGTAATAGTTCCGTCAGCGATAGTTCCGTCGTCTAGGTACGAAGACGACGGAACTATCGCTGGCGATATTTCAACGGTTCTCTCAGATTTTCACGTCATTATGGATAAATTCAATAGTATTGGCCTTGATTTAAATTTTCCAAAATGTGAGCTATTTATTCCAGAATCAAAATTTTCACCTGAACAGTTAAAACATATTGTCACAAAATTTTCGGCTTTAGCTCCTAATATCAAAATTCTTGATAATAAATCACTCCGTCTCTTAGGTTCCCCGATTTTTGATGATGCTATTCCTATTTTTATTAATGAACAAATTTCTAAATTCCAGCATTCCTCCGAAAAAATGTTGAAAATTAACCCGCACATGGCTTTATATTTAATTCGTTTTTGTGCGTTCGCCCCAAAATTTATATATTTTTTACTAAGCACTCATTTTTGGCTTTTTCCAGGACAGCTGGCAATTATTGACAATTCGCTCAGAGAGACACTCTCCAAAATTTTAAACTGTTCATTTTCAGATAACGCTTGGAAGCAGGCCTCTCTCCCTGTTCGTTTCGGAGGTCTAGGTACTCGTCATATTTCCCATATTGCCCTTCCCGCTTTTCTATCTTCTGCATATGGTACAGCCGAGCTCTTTAGTAAAATACTATGCCCGTCTTTGGGTGTAGTGGAGTTGGCTCACCTTGCAGAGGCTAGAAACGCTTGGTCTAGGGCATGCCCGGGAGTGGATCCACCAACCTCTCTATCTTCTCAGAGACAGTGGGACGAGCCGCTCTGTTTGCGTTTTCAGAGTGATCTTTTAGCTTCTTCTGAAAACGCCACTGAGCGTGCTCGACTACTAGCGGTCTTTCAGGCAGAGTCTGGCTACTGGCTGCAAGCTTTACCTTCAGCCAGTATCGGGATTTTGCTTGACAAGAGCACTCTGTCTCTGGCAATATCGCTTCGACTTGGTGTCAAGACGAATCATCCCCACCGTTGTCGTTGCGGTGCTCGCGTCTGTGAGTTGGGTCACCATGGTCTTTCATGCCAAATGAGCGCTGGCCGAGTCGCCCGCCACGCCTGCATCAATGACGTCATCCGCAGAGCTCTTGTCGCAGTCAACGTGCCAGCGGTCCTTGAGCCGAGACGATGGCAAGAGACCTGACGGAATGACGCTCATTCCGTGGAAGCAGGGTCGCCCTCTTGTGTGGGACGCAACTTGCGCGGATACGCTTGCTCCGTGCCACACAGAGAGCACCTCCCTTGCTGCGGGTGCGGCGGCGGACTCTGCTGAATGCTCTAAACGGCGCAAATATTCAGCTCTCAATGAGAACCATATATTTGTGCCGTTTGGTGTTGAGACCATGGGCCCATGGGGTCCAAGCGCTCGTTCCTTTTTTAGGGAAATATCAAAGAGACTCACCGAAGTTACTGGTGATCAAAAGGCTGGCAGCTATCTTGGTCAACGGATCAGCCTTGCCATTCAACGTGGCAATGCTGCCAGCCTATTGGGCACCATCCCTGACGGCGGCGATGGGGGTGACTTATTTTTTATTTTGTAAATAGGATGTTATTTATAAGTAGGTTTAGGAAATTTGTATTTAAATATTATTTATTTCTGTACATACGATAAAATAAAATATTACTATGTTTCGTCTAATATATTGAAAAGTCAACAATCTTTCCAATTTTATTGTTTTCGTCTTACGCCACGTGTCC